TCAGAAACGGACGTGTATAGTTACTTCCTAACGCGACGCTACCCAAAATGATACCAAATTTTCAATGGTTTACCTTGATATTTCGTTTGCCACGGATCAATTCCCAAACGTTGTTTTATTTCGACAAAGAGTGACCAAGAACTTCCTCTCCGTGCGTTGGTTGGACGTTAAGAGCGCGTGTATTTATTGACAGAACGGTATATATGATATGTCGTCATTCCGGTATCAAAGAAGGTGCGTATACTCAAATTGATCCCTTGCATGGAAAGGGAATGAAACATACACCAGAACAGCTGTCATGATTTTCCAGAACAAATAAGACGTTAGTATATATTTTGAACCACGTCATATTGATTATCTCATACTTTAAGTGTAAATATGGAATATTGGCGTTGTACACCGATCAACATCACGTCACATATTGTATATAAGCGTACATGTACACAGAAGTACAGCAAAACATCACTGTCTTTTCTAATTATCTGAAATATAGAGTATGCTTTTAGATATATTTAGTGAAAATCCACCAAAATAAATTTGAAAGCAACTTAAAAGCATTTATCATCGAACGTTAACTCGCTTATAAGTAAATCAGAGATATGTTGTAAATATCAATTTGCCAGTTTCAGATATGTAGGTTGAGTAACTTGAAACTGATGCTGTACCTCTACACTGAAATTTTTTGTATATGGATTCGGTAATTTTATAGATGTTTGAAAAATATAATCTTTTACAATTTTATATTGATATCTATTTAAGGTACATGGATATCAATTAGCCAATCCCATTGAACTAGTTTGTACCTGATATTTTGTGTTGACTACAACTTCATATAGACATTTAACGAAATGATAATGAACTAATGCATTTCTATTTTAAGCTATTCTTTGAAGAAAAAGATGTATGCAGACTTCAGAAATATCTAATAGCTCTTCAAAATGAATAAAGACAAATACAAATTGACAGAAAAATATCAGAGAATGATTATTTGGTGATGATAAGTTAGTTTTTTTTATAAATATTTAAATTGTCAGTTTTATTTCTTGAGTAAGGTAATCTTCTGAGCGTTTTCCAGTTTGAAGGTTATCTATGTATTCTCAAGGACAACATGTTCAGTTTTTCAAGAAATTGTTTGTTCCACAGAAGGTCAGAAGAAATTATTTTCTTTCAATGTATGCAACATATGTCAAATATCAGAGACCTATAGGTATAAATACCTTTCTTAATTCATGCATCATACTTAATGTTTCTATCTTTCTCCCTTCTTATAATTTTCTTGTAACTCCTGTAGTGAAACGCTGTTCTAAATAGATCGATATCGTCATTATTGATGTATACCTTGTCCTAAAATGACAAACACAGTTAAGTTATATATATCAAGTTCATAATTTTATAATGTGTATGAAATAATTTAGATATTATATTTAAGATAAAGAGGTAGAGAGTCCGCCTTCATATATTATGTATCATATTATCTGGTACAAGTAGAAAGGAAGATAAGAGGAAGCTAATCAGTTAGAGTCAAACTCTGGTATGGATATAGTCTGTAAAACGAAATAATGCCTTATACTGAAAACTTATGAAAGTTGATTACTACATTGTCTGACCTATACATTGCATTGTTTCTTCCCGATTAAGGAAGGAAAGGAATGTGTTACATTGGACATACAAAGTGTTTGTGATGTCCTCTTCGTCTATCCTTGATGTCAACTTGACAGCAAAGATGTCTTCTGACTGTGGCACTGCATCTACGTATTGATTTCATCCTTAGCTGGTTACAATGTGACTTGATTGACTTTCAAAAGACATTCAACGATCATATGTCTCAGTTTATTATTCTTGACAGTATTTTAATTGTTTAGTTTGTCATTTTGTTTTTACTTCTTTACTGCAAAATACAGTTTGGATTGAAATGAATGAATTATACATGATTATGAAAATAAATGTCATATTACATGACTGAGTCGTGTTCATCTTTTTGTTATGAGTATTCGTTTGCTGGTACGGTCAAATGACATAGAAACATTCCAATAAATCTCTGAAATGGGAACCTTCATTAAATCTTGTCACACTGAAATTAGGCTAAAGATTGGTATCTCTTTAATATACACGTATGTAAATTATTCCAGTTGAATATCCATTTCAAAATTTTAAAAAAAAAATCACATTAGAATAAACAAAGATTCAACGAACACAGAATATAAATTAACATTTAATCTTTATCGTGGTAATATTTTATTTGTCGGCATATTTGCTTACCTGATATTTGACAATGCATGCTTGCAGTGTGTCTGGAAAATGTTTCATTTTAATATTTAATAGCTCTTCAGACCATACGAGTAATATTCTTTACATACAACAAATAAAAAAGTATTGTTTCCTTTATATGGCTTCATCTCTACTGCAAAATTGTGTTTACTCTGACCAGAGACTTGCCTAGATGTAGGTCCCTGCATGTATTTCAAGGGTAAATGTTTGTTTAAATCGTGTTATTATTTAATAAGTGAGACAAGATTAGTTTTATCTCGCACACACACACCCACACACCCTCAGAGAGAGAGAGAGAGAGAGAGAGAGAGAGAGAGAGAGAGAGAGAGAGAGAGAGAGAGAGAGAGAGAGAGAGAGAGATTCAACAAGTGGATTGGCTATTGGTATATCATCAAGATTTCAGTAGAAGAAATAATACTTTCTACATTAAGTATATTAGAATCTATTGTGTATTGTTCTGATAATTTTAGGGGTCATTGTCAATACGAATAAAAAAGAAGAAGAAATCATCAGAATTTTTTATTATTTACAGAAATTTAATGTTTTGTATATTAGCAAAGCAGCTTTCATGTCACTAAGAGCTTGTATAGATTTTCTTTCAGTCATCTTGCGATGTTTAGTTGCGCAGTGTAAACAAGATGGCGGAGACGACAACAGTCGTAGCTCGTCGATACAAAATCGAATCACAGAAAACATACTTAGATATTTTCTACACGAAAGTGATTATTTTTTATTTATTTATTTATTTATTTATTTTTTTTGAGTTTATCGTGTAATGACAGATTCATTTGATATGTTTAAAAATATCCAGAAGGGCTAGAAAAATACTCGTCGCACGACCATAGGATTTGTGGTAAGAACATTTGTGACATTTTTGCCCATTTCTATAGGGTTTTGTAGAGAAACTATGATGCTTTGTACAATGAATCAGTGTTGAATAAACAGTTCGATGTTGTCATTTTTACATAATCAGTTTGAAATCTTGCATATTTCATTCGCAAGGGTAAATTCGTAATTCGTTAAAGGTATCAACTTGGGTACGATATCGATTTGGGTAGTGTCACGTTATATATTTATGTGTGTTCAATATTTACACCGAGTTCTTCATTACAATTCAGCCTTGTTTGATAACAAGTTAAGGATTTGTCCATCGAAGCATTGTAATATTAGACGAGGTGAATAAGCAATTCTGATCTTGTGATATAAACCGACGTGAAATAATCGCTCGAATATTGTGAATTTAAACCAACGTTAATAACAATCCGACTTTTGTTATTTCAACTAGCATGAAAACCCTATCCATATATTATGATATTAACCGATATGGATAAACCACCTAAATATTCTTATATAAACCGACGAGAATAAACTACCAGAATATTGTGATACAAACTAACGTTAATACCCCATCCGAATATAGTGATATAAACCAATATTAATACCCCATCCGAATATTGTGATATTAACTGGTGTAAATAAACTACCCGAAGAAGGTTAATCATAATAATAATTTTATTGTGAAGTAGATAAGAAAGTCCGAAATGTTACATTCTAGGAAAGTATACCGCGGTATTGGACTTGACACAAGGGCAAGTTATTAAGTTCGTGAACGGGTAGGAGTGACCTTGAAACGATGTCTAGGTACAAGTTAAGCTGGAGTTTGGGACGGGAGATTTGGAAGGAATCTAACTTATATTCTGCTGTTGATTTTCACTTTCCAAGAACTATATCTCATTTACACATTTATATATAGAAATATCTGACATTTTGAGTGTGGAAAGCTGATATTTTGTGTAAGGAGGAATGAGTGGTTTTTGCTCACTTGTACTGTACAATTCAATACAGTGTTCAATTTTGATTAAATGTTTTCCTTCTCGGTGCAACACAGGATACAAATCTGCTTATGTTTATAGCAATTTCAACATAAATGATACATGTTTATAAGAATGCTCTCAATTATTTTTCGTTTATTTATTATTTTTTTTACAGAAGTACAAGTGATATACGAGAAAAAGAAATCAACAAACATGTTTTAATGAAAATGGTATAGAACCACGAATCACATCTCTTGCGTGTTTGATAAATGATATTGATTAATAGTTTCATTTCTTATCCAAGTTTCCGCTCATCAAGGAGCGTGTTTTATCACTGTGTGTGGTCATTCATAGGGGATAAATTAGAACCAAAACAAAAATTGACAAAACGCATTGAGTTCAGTAGACAGTTAAAAATTACAGCAGGTGGTAAGCAGTGCGCAATGAAAAAAGTATGCAGTAGACCGATCTCCATTGTCGTATTTGGAATTCAATAGGACAGCCTCGGACAGCTAGCTCACTGGAACTTTGTTTTTAGAGAATCACACTAAATGCTTTACAAAATTAAGTTAAACTTAGCAAATATTTTAACAAACAAATCTAAAACCTGTCATGCCAAATACTTGTTCCAGAAACTAGATTTGAAACCATGAATAGAAGAATACGTTTTACTTCGAAATCTAATTTCCTGTTTAAAGCAAGGGATATCCTTAACACGGATCGCTTTTTTTCGTCCGCTGAAAGGCTCAAAATGCCATAATGGTGGACGTTAAACCTATTAGATTAATTAATCTATTGATAAGACCCTTTGAGCAAAATTAAGTGTGTCTTGCATTCAATATGATAGCAAATTGACAAACATTGACGTATCGATATGTAATTCATCACAGACAATACCACATTATATAATATACTTACATACTGAGTGTGCGTACTCTCTTCACACCAAACTTGAAGTACATATGTCCCATTACAACACAAATTACTGTAAATATCACTATTCCAACACTGAAAATCAAGTTAAATATTTCGTCTTGTGATAAACAATCTGCATTGGAAACTTCATATGTTCCATTTCCGGAAGTGACGTTGTTGCCTTCAATGCACAGTTCTTCAAAGAAGTGTTCCTGTTTTAATATGTAGAGCAAGGAAGGCCATCCGTACTGAATTCCTCCAAACAGTAAGATTTCGAGTAAACTCAGCAATATTAGGATTGCAATTCGAACTGATGATACAGCCATAATGTACCTCAAAATATCCTCCAACCTTCAAACTTTACAGCATATAGGTCTTATAAAGAGATATACTCTTATGAACACTATGGAAAACTGAATGATCAATTCCTCTGGTGCGGATCTGCAAAAGTTTCTTTTTTTTTTAATATAAATATCTTTGCGTCATTTTAACTGGAAACGAAACCTGCTTTGGTTTATAACAAAAAGCTTCAACGGAAGAGCAAAAGAAAAAAGCCAAATCGTTTCCCTCAAAAAGACGTTCTTCGTTGATAAAAATATATATTATTTACACGTAAATAAATCTGTCGTTAAGTTTGTTCAGTCAATATTTGATATCAGTTCTAATATCTGTCGAATGTATCGAAAACAGAAATTGAAAATTAAACTCAAACATTTGATTACTTAGCAGTTTGACATTTCGTACACATCGAAAAAATCTATTTTTTTAGTCCGACTTTGGAATTGATACACAGTAAGTCCAGATGAAGTCTGACAGAGATGGTCACCAGTCAAACTGACCCTTGTATGTCCAGCTGGTTTTCACTGTGGGTCAAGCGTGTCCGATGGTCGGTGCTTATTGGTCCTAAATATCAGTACTTGGGGAGGAACTACAATGTACCTCGTCTTTATTACAGTGTTATGTGTGTATTAATTACAAGATCGCCACATTGGACAATGAAAGTATTGTCATCTTTCTCCCCTGAACCGTAATTAATTCATTCAATGCTAGATTTGTCTGTTGTTCGCTAGAGAGAGTTCGGATATCAATCAAATCATTTTCTTTATACTTTAAGTCTCACAGAGTATTAGATTTAACAAATATTACAAATCTTATATAATAAATGTCATATTTGAATAATATTTTCATTAACAGGTTTCCGTATACATTTATCTAAATACTCGCTTACACAGACACACACGCTGTCGTCCTCTCAGACACACACTTACCCGATCACACATATTCACCATCACGTTCGCATTAACAACAGCGTCACTTATTTACAACTTGTAATAATCACCTTAAACCATGTTATGATAAATAGAAAGTAAACTGACATGACAACAATGATAACAAATATGATAAATATTACAAAATATATCCATACTGCTTCTGAACGCCCTTCAAATGTAACATGTATGCATGTAACTCATTAACATTGCTGTAGCTAAATACGCCAGGTCTACATATAAGTAATAAGATTTGAAATATCTTATACTTAAAAATATTATCAAATTCGTCCTCATTACCTCGATTGTCCACATATCGTACAAATCATACCTTCCCTGGGGATGTTACTATATATTTTACTCTCTAAGTTGATGTGATGATCATTTTAATTGTCATTTACCTTGTCAATACGGGTTACAAGGTTTCGGGACATTTCTTTGCTCTGTTGATTTTTGCAGTATTTCCAATATCTTCATATTTTTCCCGTTTTCACATCTTAGAAGACTGAAAAAGATACCTGCTGTTATCATACTGTGTTTCAACTAGTTTGTGATTTTTATGTCTCCGTCGGCACTGCTTTACCTTTTAAGTTGATGCTCGTCACTGTCAAGCTTCTGTTCGCTGTTATAACATAGTCTTTAATCGCGTACAGTCTATACAGTTTTAATGGTCTCTATCCTAATCTGCATAAACAGTTACAACATATGATAATACAGTAGTGATTACAGTGATACAGACATGGAGGATGGACAATAGAACCTGATGATACATTAGTTATTACAGTGATACAGACATGGAGGATGGACAATAGGACCTGATAATACAGTAGTGATTACAGTGATACAGACATGGAGGATGGACAATAGAACCTGATAATACAGTAGTGATTACAGTGATACAGACATGGAGGATGGACAATAGAACCTGATAATACAGTAGTGATTACAGTGATACAGACATAGAGGATGGACAATAGGACCTGATAATACAGTAGTGATTACAGTGATACAGACATGGAGGATGGACAATAGAACCTGATAATACAGTAGTGATTACAGTGATACAGACATGGAGGATGGACAATAGGATCTGCACTGACATTCAATCTAACATTAGAAGCAACAAGTAGAAATTTTGTTAGCTTACTTAATGTTTTCTTATTTCTAACAGAGAGAAGATTGCTTGTTTGAACATAGATGTCCGTACTCTATAATATCTATCAGTGTATTGAGTTCTAAGAACATTATAAAATGGACAGACAAGAATAAAATATAATTCATCTTCAATATATGTCCGATGCCAGTATGTGGTTGGGTGAGATACCCTACTGGGCGCCTTGGGAAATATTGTTCAGTGTGGTAGCACTACAATTTTTATAAGACTTCATTTTCGCAATGGACATATCGCAATCTACCGGACATTTCGTATACATCGTGAGGCAGTCCTTGAATGACTATAGCTATTGACGAGGCAATTCACTGTTTAGTTATAAATAGATAAATTCTGTGTGATAGGCGTTTAAGTAAATATCAATAATTACAATGATAATTTCAGTAAAATAAATTTATCCCTGGATGAATTTTGGTTCATGCATTCCACATTTCCTGGATCCCCATCCAACCCATGGGAGTTACAAACACACACAAAGCCAAAAAACTATATAAAAATCCACGAAATTAACATGACAGAATAAAAAAGGAGAAAAATTAAAACTAAAGACAGATAGAAAACAAATACAAGGATGACTACGTGTATTTTAGAAGATTTCCTCGTTCTTACTCACTGTTAATTAGACAATATATATAGTCGGTGCCTGGTAAAGCAAACGTACATATCGTACCACAATTATCTAAAGCTTGCGGTGATTAACAAAGTTATAATTAGTTGGCGTTAAATACTTCACGAACACTGTCGAGACTTATTTTGAAATCATTGTAATACAAACATGATATTAAACATCGACGAAATTTGATACAGAAAACCTGCCGAACTTCTTTTTGGGTTTATCTCTTTTTTATTCGTTTTTGTTTGATTTTTTTTTAGTTTTTTATCTGTGTTTTGTTTTGCTTTTATTTTTCTTCTGTTTAGCGTATTTATTTTAAATTATATTGTTGAAATATAAACAGAATTCAATCACAGGTTGACACGAGAAAACGATGATGAAACATTCAGTAGTCTGTTGACGTTTACACCTTTGTTCAGTATTGTACCTACGAATCTAAATGACCATTGTCCATTCCCTGCGGCAATACTAAACAATGATCAAAACACTTTATTGGACACCTGTTAACACTTTTTGATAGTCAGTATATAGGTTTGACCAGTACAACTTTTTAATTGAAACACCTTAATGTTTCTTTTACGAGTATGGAGAGGTTATAAAAACTGGTATCTCCTTTGAAATAGCCTTTGGTCACTATTACCCTTTTCACCTTGTGATACCGAAGGATATTTACGCCAGGTGTCTTGTATCGACATCTGTACCTGTTTTCTGTGTTGACCTTGATGATAGCCGCGTTCAGATTTCAATCAGACACTCCACACATGAGATCAGACACTATTTTAGTACTTGTGTTGATCTGATCCTGACCGAACGTGCAAAGATCAGATGAATGAGCAAGAAACCCGGAGGTCCTAGAGTTTCCATGTGTTCACATTCAGGCATATATGAAGCAGAAGACTCTAACCCTTCTCAAACACTTGGTTTTATTCTCCGTTAATTTTTTGTGTAAATCTCGGTGTTAATATTTTGTTAACAATTTACCATGATTTTTTAATCGAATTTGTGTTAGAATTTCGTTTACATGTCGATATTTTGTTGTTGATGTAATGTATCCTGTATTATAGACGTGTCAAAAGGCATGCATTTGATGATGTAATGTATCCTGTATTATAGACGTGTCAAAAAAGGTAATGTATGTATTTGATGATGCATTTGAATGTATGTATCCTGTATTATAGACGTGTCAAAAGGCATGCATTTGATGATGTAATGTATCCTGTATTATAGACGTGTCAAAAGGCATGCATTTGATGATGTAATGTATCCTGTATTATAGACGTGTCAAAAGGCATGCATTTGATGATGAAACGAGGAATGTTCAAGTTTGAATCAATGGCGAGGAGCATTTACAAAAATATGTATCTTGCGGTAAAACGCTCGTCAACATATCGTAAGAATGGCGCATTCTGCTCCCATTGCGTGAATCCGATAATTTAACATCAAATTTACCTACCTCCTCTTCACCTAAAACTGTAACCCCAATTCTCTCCTCTCCGCTCGACCTTTACATAGTAACCCCAATTCTCTCCTCTCCGCTCGACCTTTACATAGTAACCCCAATTCTCTCCTCTCCGCTCGACCTTTACATAGTAACCCCAATTCTCTCCTCTCCGCTCGACCTTTACATAGTAACCCCAATTATATCTCTCTCCTCTCAATCTCTACATTGTAACACCAATTATACTTCTCTCCTCTCAATCTTTACATAGTAACCCCAATTATACCCCTCTCCTCTCAATCTTTACATTGTAACCCCAATTATACCTCTCTCCGCTCGACCTTTTCATAGTAACCCCAATTAAACCTCTCTCCTCTCAATCTTTGCATAGTAACACCAATTATACCTATCTCCCTCAATCTTTACATTGTAACACCAATTATACCTCTCTCCTCTCAATCTCTACATTGTAACCCCAATTATACCTATCTCCCCTCAATCTTTACATTGTAACACCAATTATACCTCTCTCCTCTCAATCTCTACATTGTACCCCCAATTATACCTCTCTCCGCTTAGCCTTTAACTTGTAACACCAATTATACCTCTTTCCTCTTAGCCTTTAAAATGTAATTCTAGATTTAAGCTTATCCAGAAATCTATCATAGGAAATTATTTTTTTTACAAATACCAGTACGGTTTTATGCCTTGTCACTGTTTATCAGTTCAATGAAATTTATCACAGTATTTGTATAGCACTTGAAGATAAAAAAAAACCCTGTCCGTTTCGTGTTCTGTGGTATATCAAAAGATTTTGATCGTGTTTGGCATAAGGC